TTAACCATGTATTAAACATCCATTTGTTGGCTTGTAAAAAGCATCCTGTGTATTAGAAATTGCCCTGTACGTGACAGTCCCTTACTCCTCGCGAGGAGGCGAAGAAGCTGGACCGCCTGGTGCACGAGGAGCTCCCCGGGAGGCTGCGCCCCCCCCGCGTGGAGAGCTTCGAGGCCTTCAGCAGGGAGGTCCAGCACTCAGGCTCCTCTGCTCTGCTCCTTTTTGTTCATCCTCCTCCTCCTCCTCCTCCTCCTCTCCTCCTCCTCGCCTCCTCCTCATCCTCCTCTTCCTGTTCCTCCTCCTCCTTCTCCTCCTCCTCGCTTCTTCTCCTCCTCCTCCTCCTCCTCGATGTTTGTCTCCTCCTCCTCCTCCTCCTCCTCCGCCTCCGCCTCCTCCTCCTCCTCGCTCCTCTTCTCTCCTCCTCCTCCTCCTTCTCGATCCTCCTCCTCTCGTCCTCCTCCTCCTACCTCCTCCTCCTCCTCTCCTCCTCCTCCTCCCCGTCCTCCTCTCCCTCCCTCCTCCTCCTCCTCCTCCTCCTCCTCCTCCTCCTCCTCACTCCTCCTCCTCCTCGCTCCTCCTCGCCGCTCCTCCTCCTCCTCCTCCCCTCATCCTCCTCCTCCTTCTCGCTTCTCCTCCTCCTCCTCCTCCTCCCTCCTCCTCCTCCTAACGCGCTCCTTCCCTCCTCCGTCCTCCGCCTCTTTCCTCCTCCTCCCCTCCTCCTCCTGCTGCTCCGCCCTACTCCTCCTCCTCCTCCTCCTTCTCCTCCTCCCTTCTCCTCCCTTGCTGACGCTTTCCTCCTCCTCCTCCTCCTCCTCCTCCTCCTCCTCCTCCTCCTCCTCCTCCTCCTCCTCCATTCCTTCTCTTATAGATATCTTCTCCCTGTCGCACCCCGAGGCCAGTTTTAGGGCGGGCCAGGCGTTTCGCTTGAGACTTCCTAACCATTTATGACCCTGCAGCTTCACACAGGACAGCCGTTTCACACATGGAGGGCTGGTGGTTTTCAACATGTGGCTCTCGCCTTAGCACCGCGCACATTCTTTCACTTATCTTGGCGAATGACCCAACCATGTGCAGTTGTGAGTAACGCGTTGTGGGTGCCGCTTTCGGTGGAGCTCCTTATGGGGCCACGGAACGCGTGAGGGACGTGCCGTAATGGGTGGGGGAGACGCATGCGGGCGGTGCCACTGGGGCGTTCGGTGGGGCTCCCTATGGGCCACGAAACGCTGTCCTGGGTGTGGCTGACGCATGTGGCCACCCCCGCTGGGAGCCGCAGGTGTAGCTCCCTATAGGGCCACGAAGCGCTGTACTGGGTGTGGCGGACAGGGGCCACGAAGCGCTGTACTGGGTGTGGCGGACGCAGGTTGCCACCCCCACTGGGGCCTTGCGTGGAGCTCCCTATGGGGCCACGAAGCGCTGTACTGGGTGTGGCGGACGCATGTGGCCACCCCCGCTGGGGCCGCAGATGGAGCTCCTTATGGGGCCACGAGTGGCGGACGCATGTGGCCACCCCCACTGGGGCCTTAGGTGTAGCTCACTATGGGGCCACGAAGCGCTGTACTGGGTGTGGCGGGCGCATGTGGCCAACCCCACTGGGGCCTTAGGTGGAGCTCCCTATGGGGCCACGAAGCGCTGCACTGGGTATGGCGGACGCATGTGGCCACCCCCACTGGGGCCTTAGGTGGAGCTCACTGTGGGGCCACGAAGCGCTGTACTCCCGACCTCTCGACCACTTCCCCAGGACCCCGCTCTTCATCCCGAGACGTTTCTTGCCTGTCCCGAGGCCCCGTGAGGGCCCTGAGAGGCCGAACGCGACGAAACACCGTCGTCTCGATCTGTTCGAGACGCCTGATGCCAGGGGCCGGCGCGCCGCCCAGGCTCTCGGCCCCGAGGCCCCGCTCAGCAAGCACGGCGAAACGCCGCGAGTCCAAGGCGGCCACAAGCTGGGGGTTGGCTCCGGGATGCGCCGGGTGATGGCCCAGGGATGGCGCCGCATCAGCCCACGAGCTTTCGGAGGACGACGGCGGCGACGACGACGACGACGACGACGACGACGACGACGTCGACGTCGACGTCGACGTCGACGTCGACGACGACGACGAGGAGGAGGAGGAGGAGGACACGGCAGCCTCGAGGCGCCTCAGCGCCAGCGCGGCGCCCAGGCTCCAGCCTCGAGGCCCTCCCGGGCGCAGGCGCGGCGGAGGGCCCCGCGCCGCAGGAGCGGATGGGTGCCGCGCGCCGCCGCCGCCGCGTGCCGCGATGGGCGCCGCCGCCGCCGCAGGGGCCTCAGGGGCGACGATGTCGGCCACGCGCAGGGGCCGCTGGGGCCTCAGGGGCCACGACCTACCGCACTTCCCGGCCTCATGGCCCTGAGATCCTGGCGTGTTTTTTTTGTTGTTTGCTTTCTTTTCCACCGGGCGTCTTCGCCCCATCTCGGGCCTCGGGGCCCTCGCAGATCGGTCCGGGCCCGAAGGAGGACGCAGGAAGATGGGGTCTGGGGCTCCGGGCGTTTTTTGCGATGCTGCAGTTTTTGGTGCAGCGTCGGATCTCAGGGGGGATTTTGATGTCCGACCTACTTTAGCCTTGATCACGAGAAAGAGTTTCGAGCCCCTCAAAAAAGTACCGAAACTCCATGGTTTTCACGTGTCGGGCCCCGGGAGACACTCGTCCGACACTGTTTCGACACTGTTTCGACACCTTTCTGGGTGCTCGAAATTATTTCTGGGATGTGGTCCGTAAGTACGGCGGGAGCAACATAAAGTGGGGGGGGCCCTTGCTTTAGGTCGGGCATGTCCCCCTACAGGCGGGTTTTGGAGGAACGATATCCCTGCAGGCCGTCTGAACAGGCATGTCCCCATTACAGGTCGACCCTAGGCATGTCCCCCTACAGACATGTCCCTTAACAGGAACAATGGTCCCTATGCATGTCCCCCTACAGGCCGACTTAACGCTTGCTGGGCCCCAGGACCGTCAAAAAGCGACTCAGGATGAAAACCCAGTCCTGGGGTGTAGGTCGAGACCTCTGGGGGTATGTGAAAGTCGTGACGTCGGGGGTCTGGGGGGTGGGGTAGGGGGAGGGGGGAAGGCTTCTTAGAAGCACCCCTGCTTCTTAGAAGGCGCGTGCCATACCTGTAGATGTACGTCCAGCACCCTCTAAGAAACAGCTTCCTTCTAAGACGCCTTCCCCCTCCCCCTTACCCCCTTGCGCGCGCCGCCGACGATAGGGGGGGGGGTAGGCTCAGACTATTCTTTAAGGATGACTTTTCTGAAGCGCCAGGCGCAGGTCAGCAGCGCATCGTCCCTGGCGGACTCGATCTGAGCCCCAAAGTAGGCTGCGGAGCGGGAGACAGAGACTCCCATGACTCGACAACTGCATGAAGGCCGGCATGCACAGAACGGTTCTTGAGTTCGTATGAAAGACCTGGCGCCCGTGTCACGGTGGACACTCTCCTCCCTCTCACTGCCAGATGAAGTCGATCGCCCGCAATCGCCCACCCGCCCAGGACCGAGCGGACTCGCAATCGGGGGCCTGTCGCCGATCTATCGGCGATGCATCGCCGATTTCAGGTGGATGTTTTTTCGCTCCAGAGCTGGTCCCCCCGATCGTTGCCTCGCGGGGCCGCTGTTGACTGTTGGCTGAGATCAGGGCGTTGCATTTTTACCTAACAGCTCTTGCTGATAGGTTTCTAGTGGTCTCAGAAGAGAGCATCATGACTCCTCAGGGGGGTCTGGGCGGGACCCGGGGAGGCTGCCGCCGAAGGCCGCCGAAGCCGAAATCGCTTGGGACATCCTCGCAAAATCGCTCTTGGTGCTCCCAGAACTCCATTCCAGGGCCACATGTTGGATGCCCGGAGCCAACTGTAGGCCACTTCGTGCTCTTCGACTTCCCAGAACTCCATTCCCAGGCCACATTTTGGATGCCCGGAGCCAACTGTAGGCCACTTCGTGCTTTTCGATTTCCCAGAACTCCATTCCCGGGCCACATTTTGGATGCCCAGAGCCAACTGTAGGCCACTTCGTGCTCTTCAAGTTCCCAGAACTCCATTCCTGGGCATGATTTTGAATGCCCGGAGCCAACTGTAGGCCACTTCGTGTTTTTCTAGTTCCCAGAACTCTATTCCTGGGCCACATTTTGAATGCTGAGGCAGGCTGATGCTGCGGCCGAGGCAGGCTGAGGCTGAGGCAGGCTGAGGCTGAGGCCGAGGCTGAAGGCAGACTGAGGCTGAGGCTGAAGCAGGCTGAGGCTGAGGCTGAGGCAGGCTGAGGCTGAGGCTGAGGCAGGCTGATGCTGAGGCAGGCTGAGGCTGAGGCTGAGGCTGATGCAGGCTGAGGCTGAGGCAGGCTGAGGCTGAGGCCGAGGCTGAAGGCAGACTGAGGCTGAGGCTGAAGCAGGCTGAGGCTGAGGCTGAGGCAGGCTGAGGCTGAGGCAGGCTGAGGCTGAGGCTGAGGCTGAGGCTGAGGCTGTGACTGCGACTGCCGTTGCCGCTGCGACTGTCATCGCGAATGCGACTACGACTGCGAGAACAGCAGAATTCGACAACTGGATTTTCATTTGAATCTTAAGGGGAATGCTTTCAGATATGCTTCTACACATCGCTGTTAGGTTGCTTTGCCGGGATAATTTTCGTACCGGGTGTTCTCGCCCAGTCGCGGGCCCCAGGACCATGACAGGTCGATGCGGCTCGAGAACTGCCGCAGAACGATGGGGTTTGGGGCCCCCGTCGCGTTTTTTCCTGATGCTGCTATTGTTCGCAGCGCCGGATTTCAGGGCTCACATCGAGGCGGCGCGGGCAGGAGTCGCGACGGCCGATTTTCGTCGCCCTCGGCCTCTGGAGGACATGTAAAACGTAGGTGTGCACAGCGCTGGTCTGACGCGACAGCGGTCGCCGAAACGTGGGCCCTGACACGCCGAGCCAGCACGCCACGTCCTGGCACGGGCGCCTTTTGTTGTGTCTCTTTGCCAGACCTTTCTCTCTCCAGCACAGCACGTGTGGCGTGTCGAGGCGGTCGTGTCGAGGCGGCTGCGCGTCGGGGGCAAGGGGCTGGGCGCCGCCGCCGCGGGGTGCCGCTGTTGGCCGCCGCGGCCGCCGGGCGCCGCCGCCGGGCGCTGGCGCCGGGCGCCGGGGTCGGCCGGCGGGCTCCGCCGCGGCCGCCGCCGACGGGCGCCGCCTGCCGCCGCCTGGCCGGCAGAGAGCCACCGCAGCCGCGTCGTCGCCGCCGCGGTCGGCCGTCGGGCGGGCGCGGCGGCGCTTTCGGGGTCGCCGCTGCGGGCGCCGGCGACGTGGCCTCAGTTCGTGGGGCCGTCGCGCTGCAGGGTGGGAGAGGCCGGGGAGGGGGGCGGGGTTCTTGCGAGGCTTGCGGGCTCCGTCGTCGGTTCTGGGAGGTTTCCCTGCCCCGGGATGCGTTCCAGCAGCTGCGCCTCGCCGAGAGCGTTCGGGGACCTCCAGGATCGTCCCGAACGGCCGTCGGAGAGCCGAGTTATGGCCCGAAAGCCAAGGGGCAACGTTAGGGTGGATAGGTTCCGGGGGGACGCATCGACCTCCAATCGCTTAGTCATCGCCGATAAGGGCCCGATAGCCCACCCCGCCCAGGAGCGCGCTGATTCGCAATCGGGGGCCTAACGCCGATCCATCGGCGACGTATCGCCGATTCCAGGTCGATGCTTCCCCCCTTGAGCTGGGCCCCGCCTTATCGTGCCCCAGATCAGATCTGGGGGTCGTGAAGAAGTCACGACTGCCACTTCTGCCTCAGTTTAGGCCCCCAGGAGCCTCGCGCGCGGGTGGACCTGGGCGAACCAAACAACAAAGAAATATGGAAATATGATGTCGAGAGCTCTGGCCTCTATTTCTCTCGAGGCCCGACGTTGAGTGTGTTTCCGCGGCGTCGGACTTCGGGGTGGCTTGGGCCGCCCATCTGCCAAATTTGCCGCCTTCGTCGGCGCTGTGGCTGCTGCCGTCGTCGGCGTCGTCGCCGCTGCATCCATCAATCCTCTTCGAGGCCAGGACGCAGAGGATGATGATGCTGATGATGATGATGATGATGATGCTGCTGCTGCTGCTAATGATGCTGCAGATAATGATGATGATGATGATGATGATGATGATGATGATGATGATGATGATGATGATGATGATGATGATGATGATGATGATGATGATGATGATGATGATGATGATGATGATGATGATGATGCTGATGCTGATGCTGATGCTGATGCTGATGCTGATGCTGATGATGATGATGATGATGATGATGATGATGATGATTATGATGATGATTATGATGATGATGATGATGATGATGATGATGATGCTGAGGAGGAGCAGGAGGAGGAGATGTAATTTGACACCATATGCCTTTGCCTCGGATGAACTTGACCCAAGCCGACGCATGATACCTCTACAACTCTCATTGGAATCCTTTCCGCGCAGTGCAGTAACGTCCTCAATGCGCTTACTGACGGCGCTGAGGACCCTTACAATTTTGTCAAGGCTTTCCAAGCACGGGACATCAGAAAGGACGTTATTCTGAACATCGTCCCCCGAACGCTTCTCCACCTATCTGTATGCCTCGAGGAAGACGAGCGACAGCGAATGCGGTGGCTGGGCCAGGATCGGTCTCGATCTCGCAGCTCCTTTGGCTCGTCTTGCTTCTGCTCTTCCCGCTTAGCCCCTGCGACGGGTATCAGCGGCGGTGGCGGCGACGCCGCCGCCTTCCATGCTCGGTCCGCTGGCACTTACTTCTGGCCATGGCCGGCTGTGTGAGTGAGTGCGCTAAGCCAGTGCGGCTTCCGCGAGGTTTTAGGGTCCGGAGTACGGTCCAGTTTTGCGTGTTCTCTGACGTCAGGTGCTGCACCGCAAGGTATGCCAGCGCTTCGCCCAGGTGCCCTGGTCCTCCGTTCGTCATCTGCCTCCCCGCCTTGCTATCAAGTGCATGGCCGTCGTTGCAAGGAGGGCGTTGCTTGAACGCTAGAACGACTTCTTCGGATTCTTGGCTTCATGCCGATCGCCAGGCACAGCAACATGAACCTATGAGCCGACATGCTGTTTAATGTGCTGTCATAGTTTCATATCCTGTGACGCTGGGCTGCTGACTTGATATGCGTTCTCACCGTGTACCAATCATTTTCCCCACTTCCTCCAGACGTTCATGGTCGAAGAGATCGTTTCCTAGCTCTGCGCAGTCGTTTGCGCATGGCGCCTTTCCCAGCCGAGCGCGGGATGCATGTGCTTACTGCTGCGCGTGCATATGTTGGATGTCAAGATGCTTGAGTTTTCCAAGCCCCAGGCTCGAGGCAGTTGCAATCCCAGCTGATGAATCGGACTGTAAGCGCACTCGTACGGTTACTCCACCGAGTTCTGTGAGTATCGTCTGCCCTAGCCAGCCTTCGGCCGCAGAAGTGATGGCGTGTAGCTCAGTCTGTGCAGTCACTTATTGGGTACGACTAGAGTTTTTGAGCAGACGAGGACCCCGAAACACAGAACCGTTAGATGTGGATTTCCGGGTTGTTTTGCACCTGGCCCAACCGTTGTCAACATACACAACAATGTCGTCTCTCAGAATGTCACCGTGACGCAGATGCAGTCATCCTTGTTAAGTTTTCTGCGTCTATTGCATGAGGTGCTTTAGTTTCCTCATGTTCTTCGTTGGGGCCGCTAGCTTTCTCGCAAGTTCTGTCGTCTGTGGGCACGCATTGCATCTTGCCCACTACGCGCCGGTCTTCTCCAATCAGCCCTTGCACTGGCATTGGGGTCTTGTGCCCAGGAGTCGAAACGGCCGGACATCCTTTCATCCCCACCACATCTAACGCTTCATCGATGCACCTTGGCGCTGGGCTCACTGCAATGCTTGTCTCCACCTTGAAACATTTTCCTACTCTTTTGCGGCCGAGTTGTTATTGACGCGTTCACCCCCGCGGGAAAGAATCTGGTTCTCAAGTTCATCGAACATCTCCGTGGGGTTGTCAACAGGTACCTTTAGATGCAAGTTTCTCTTGTCGCTCCAAGAACAGTCGGGTCACTCTGGCACCGCTTTAAACCCAGACGTTTCCCGATAACTTAAGCCATCACGTCCTTGAATTTTGCGGTGCTTTCCTGTGGCCGTTCATTGCTTTCTGCATCCTCCATGTCCAAGTTGTGTATTGGGGTATCCGTTGTTCTGGAGGTCTAGAAAACACTTCATGTTCACTAATATCCGCGTGCGTGAGCGCTACGCTGAAATCTCCTACTCTGCTTGTACAGTTCATATTCATCGCGAGTGGTAAAGTAGTTGTCAAATTTACCAAACGAGTTGGAGCAGGGGTTGCCGCGAGCTCGGCGTCCCCGACCGCTGCAAGTCTTCGGCAAGAAGGCGCGATCGGACCTGCTTTTCTTTCTGTTTCTTGTGAGCCGTCAGCCTGCCTTTTCTCAGTGCTGTGCGTTTCCCCGTTCGGTGCACTCTTGGTCCACATCTTCCACTTGAACTTGTGCGTGTCGTCCTGTGCCACCGCGATGGCTACCTCTACTCTGGGCTTCCTAGATGGGGTCGGAGTAGATGAGGTCGGAGGATCGCGCCGCATCGCCGACTCATCGCCGATGCGGCTCGATGTGGAGCCCGATTTCTGCACGCGGATTTCGCCGATGCATCGCCGATGCGTCGCCAGTGCGTCGCTGATGCATCGCCGATGCATCGGCGACGCGGCGTGATCCACCGACCCCATCTACTCCGACCCCATCTAGGAGGCCTCGATCTACCCTGTCCTGGACCCCCGTTGCTGCTATCGCTGCTCCGTCCCCGCTTGGCCGCCGCAGACGGCCCTTTCGCCCTAGACCCAACGCGTCCGTCGGGCGACCCCTCGAGCGTTGCCGATTCGCGGGGGGGCCCTGGAGGAGCTGGGCCTCGGTGCGCTGTGCCGCGCTTTGCTTGCTGTCTTCCGATTGTTGCCTTCTCCGTCCACGCTCTGCTGCGTGCGTGTTGCTTCACGCCCCCTCGCGGCGCGCCTCGCAGTTGGGGGTTTTGCTCCGCTCGCGCCAAGACAAACGTGAATTAACCTCCTGTGCTGTGAAACCAAGATCCCCAGGCACTGGCGCTGGTGGAGACAGCGCGGGGGATTCTCTTGCGGCAGTGCCTGGGCGATGCTGCAGGTCTCAGGGTGCCCCGTCAACCTGCCTGATAACGCTCGCGTCGAAACGCGCGTTCCTTTCCCGTCTGCGGATGGTGCGCGACGGGGAGATTCCGCTGGCGCTATCGATCATGTGTTCATCGATATCAGCGGTTTTGCCGTAGTTGGCCCTGCTTTCCGGCCAGATATTCACCCGCCAATCTCGACAATCATACCATGGTATCTGTGTCCCTTCGCACGCTCGAACGACGTTTTTACCCTCCGTATGTTCCGAAAAAGTATCGACCGCGTTGCGAGGATCCTTCGGTCTGTGAATGCCATACAGTACCTGGGCTCGAGGGCAAGTTTGTATGTGCGCAACAGTGCCTCTACGCGCTGATGAGAACGCTCTACAGACCCATTGGCCTTCGTGTGCCCTGAGGGTGCGCGCCGTAATTGCGCGTGATTTTTGCGCTTGCTTGCTACTGCGTGTGCGACATCTTTGATGGGGGTCTCGTCGTCCGTCTGTGCAGCAATCGTGCTCGTGGAACCTGCGTGCTCCATGTGCTTCGCAGTGATTGAATCTTTCGCGTGCGTGTTTTTTTTGTTGCCTCCCCAGGGGCGCGCGCTCCGCTGCCTGGCGCAGCGACCATAGCGAAGAAGCGCGTGATGAGATTGGCGTCCCCTGCAGTTTTCGCAAAAAGAAGTAATCTGATTGAAAGGCTGGGCGCGGAGCGTCCTCCCCGTGCTTGCGCGGCGATTCTATTGTTGGCCCATGGCGCTGAGTCCGCGCCAATCGCGACATGGCCTCTGTGCAAGATTGCGCGCGCCCCTTTCTTGCCTACTGGGTTCTTTCGGCATCGTCGGGGCTGCCGGGATCTGTGCTGCGTCGCTCTCTTGTGGCAGTTCGTCCAGGTTCCGAAGTTCCGCGGTTTCCTTCTGGTCGGCGCTGCCGCGTGTTCCAATTTCTTCGGCGAGCGTTGTGGGAAAAGTGCCACGTGCGCTTGACCTGCCTAGGTATGGCCTGGAGGTCTGTCCAGTCAGTGCAACTGTCAATGAGTTGCCGTGGCGATGTTCCATTTGGCCCACGCGATGCGCATGGGCAACTTTTCAGCGGTGGTCCTCTGAATCAACCTCACAGGGGCCTACCAACAGGAACGTGCATCGCATTAGCCCAGGGGTACATCCAGGAACCATATCTCCCCCCCGTCCCGCGGCATGTCATGCGGAAGCGCTGCTAACAAA